TTAAAAATATTTTTTTTTAATTTTTCGCGGGGACGGGGATCCCCGCTGGGCTCCGCGGGATGGGAAAAATTCCCCGCGAAATTTCACGGGGAGAAAATCTCCCCCATCCCCGTCCCGCGGGGAGAAATATTCCTCCCCGCCCCGTCCCCGTGACGGGGATCCCCGCGGGACCCCGCGGGACCCCGCGGGAATCGGGGGAAATTGCCACCCCGACAACCCTTTTTTACTTTTTTTTCTTTTTTGGTAAATGACAATCCATTTTTACTAGCTTCTAGAAATTTGTAGACAGGTGCTTGCGCCATTTAGACGGTACTGTTTGGAAGAATGCATAGGTCAGCCTTGTATGAGTTAAGAGACAGACGTATAGATATGAAGTCATTCCAATGCTCAAACATGAAATCACTCCTCTTTGACACCATATATTTATTTTATCATTATTTATCCCGTATAGCTTTTTCAAATCACCATCATTACTTCTGCTATTTAGCTTTTTCTAGATTTGAAAAGGCAAAAGGTACGCAGCCCCTTAACTTTTCGAATTTGAGGGTTTTTACCCTCCATATTATAATACATGGATTTTTACCCTCAATATGTTCGAGTTTTAAGAAATGAGGTAAAATTTAACGTCAAACGATCACGTGCTACACATGCATCATTATTTCCATTATAAATTTACATGTCAACACTAACTTAAATATTTTTTAACATGTCAGCAAATTCACCTCGGATTCTTTCCAACAAATTTTTTTTTTGTTCCTCCCTTTCCTCTTTTCCTTTCTCTTTCTTCAACCCCTGCAAATCCAAACATCTCAACTAATCTCTGCCTTTCTGGCTTCATCATAATCATCAAATAACAAAACAAAAATCCATACCACAAACCATAGCAAGATTAAAACATAATATAAATCAACAACATCAAATCAAGCCAAAAACACCAACCATCCTTCTCTCATGAGTTTTCGATTCAATAACAAACACCCAGTAACCAAACACCCAGTAAACAAACACAAAACCCATACAAAACTCACTAAACACAAGAGCAAGATCTGTTAAAAACCCAAATAGAATATACTGAAGCACAAGAATCTTAAGAGGAAATGAGGGAATGATAGAATATACTGAACCCAAGCCCTGGGTTTGAAGGAGCCTAGTCACTGGGTTTGAAGGAACCTAGTCACTGGGTTTGAAGGAACCCAGTCGACTGGGTTCCTTCGAACCCAATGGCAGAAAATTAAAAAGGTTTCTTTTGTTTTTTTTTTTTTTGTTTTGTGAGTTTTGTTAATTGATGATGATGAAGCCAGAAAGGCAGAGATTAGTTGAGATGTTTGGATTTGCAGGGGTTGAAGAAAGAGAAAGGAAAAGAGGAAAAGGAGGAAAAAAAAAATTGTTGGAAAGAATCCGAGGTGAATTTGCTGACATGTTAAAAAATATTTAAGTTGGTGCTGACATGTAAATTTATAACGGAAATAACGTTTAACGTTAAATTTTACCTTATTTCCTCAAACTCGAAAATATTGAAGGTAAAAATTCATGTATTGTAATATGAAGGGTAAAAACCCTCAAATTCAAAAAGTTAAGGGGTAAACGGGTACCTTTTGCCGATTTGAAAATAGGGAACATTGAAAAATTGTACATTTATTGTATCCTAAATATAGACACAGGTCAAAATTACATTTAAACCTTTAACTAATACTCCCTCTTGGCCCTATAAATTTGCAGTTCATAGAAAACATTACAAGGGCAGGACAGTAGCAGCAGCAGCATTAGCAATGGCAGCCCCAACAAAGCCACTAGTATCTGATCTTGTCTCAAGTATAAGCTCTCTCCCTGCAAATTATGTTCGTCCAGAATCCGATCGTCCCAATCTCAGTGAGGTTACTCTTGATTACTC